ATGTATATTCATGTAACCACAATAAAAGGAGTGCTATGGGGAGCCTGGCTGAGAGTCTGACGGAGGTCAAGTGGATATACAACATAGGCCATGGAGCTTTGCTGTTGTAAAATAAAACTGAGAAGCATTACACAGATATGGTTATGAATTTGTATTTCCATACATAGCCTGCTTTTCTTCACCTTTTAGAAAATGATACTACTTCTCTATCTCCATCTTTTGCCCTTGAGTTTTGTTTTTTATTCCAAAGAAAGAAAACAGTTTGATTTTTTTCTCCTTTTCCGTTTGGCATGTACATTTGTACTCCTTTGTTCCTTATAGTCCTAGTCCATTCTGTCTAGTAGTCTACCTTCTTAGTGCCTACCATCTGTGTGCTGAAAAAAAAAACACTATACCCTATGGACGGAATCAAAACAATAAATCCAATATGGTAGTCAAAATATAGGAGTCATATCAAAACTGTAACATACCATAAAATACTAAGATTTATTTATATAAACCACTCTGCATTTGTACGTTATGGTTTGTATATCAGTTCAATATATTTCAATTTTCAATTCAATTTTATTTATACAGTGCAAAATCACAACAATGGTCACCTCAATGCATGTTATATTATAAGGTAAAGATCCTACAATACACACTTCCCTCCTACAATATCCTATAATTACTTCCCCTCCCTTTCCAGTTCAGACATTTATTTCACGTTTCTTTTTGTGTGGGTTATTTCTATTTACAGTTTTGTTCATATGATGATAGAAATAACACTGTATAGTTCACTCGAATATAATATTTAAAACTTGCATTTATACAATGCACAACCAAATCCTTACCTAGTGTTCGTCCACCCCAAGCTCCACCCTGTCTTGAGCTCCCTGGGTGATGACTTGCTGCATAGCCTTGAAGTGGGTGTGGAGTGCCATAGGTTTGACGGTGGAGTAGTTCTGACTCTGGGTGGTATGAGCGGCTCCCATACACGAGGCTGGGGAGCACATGGTTACTGAATTTGACTTAAAACTTAAACACAATTGCTTAAGTACAACTATATTCCATCAGAAGAAATTAAAAGTAAGTACCAATTAGCATGGCAAACAGAGTGCTTTAAATATCTTGGAGTCATAATACCTATGAAATTACTTACCAATACAAAAGAAAATTAAGGAAGATATAGCGAGATAGAATCTAATTCCATATTTAAGTTTATATTCGAGAATAGACTCAATTAAAATTAATATTCTTCCTAAATGATTATATTTATTTCAAACATTACCAATAGAAATTAACCAGAAACTTTTT